GCCTACATTTATATAGGTGGATAGGTACCAAAATCTAATTCGCTATTTACAGGTACGTGAATCTAATATAGGGGATGAGGCCTGCATGAACGACCAAAGCTGTTTCATGGTGAGTAACTACATTAGATAGTTAGTGCAATGTAGATTAATTATTATTAATTATAAATGTGTTTAAATAAAAAATAATTAAATATATCAAAATTTTATACTTGTGTAAAATGTTATAAGGTAGTTTACGCGTGTGCATGTTGTATTTTGTTAACAATTATAACGAATTGTGTGTTTCCCTGTTACAGTGCTGGGAGACCTGCTCTATGCTTTATATGGATTACCAGGTGTGGGGAATGATGTGTAAAATCCCAGAACTTTGTGTAAGTCTGCTACCCTCAACTAATATATATATATATTATATTATACATATTATTATTTTTTCTAAGGTTCTAGCGTTTTGCACATATTTGTGCACGGTAAAAGCAACACTTAGCGGTTGCTTGACGCTTGATCACATTCGTTGTCTGCCATAGCAACCTACGCGACATTATGAATTGCTTTTTCTACAACATGTCATCGTCTCTCTCTCTCTCTCTCCACACGCACACGTATATAACAGTATGCTAATATAATATATATAATGGTTTGTGTTATTTTTAGTACGAAGGTTGCCAAGTGTCCTGCCGCTTTCACGAAGAGCACGTGTTCGAGACGCAGCATCTGCCGACATCGGACGTCAACAAACTCGCAGTTCAGATGGAGGACTCCGATACTGAGCTACTGCTACGGTGGGAGCCGGAGGGAGTGCCTATAGACAGGTCCGTCGTCTACCAGCTGACGTGGCGCGAAAACGAGCACAGCGACTGGATGGGAATCGTACAGGTGGGGAGAGTTGATTCTTTACTGTTAACGGTCGGCGCTACCGATGTGTCTTTGTGTCATCGTGTTATTGGTTACGGATTTCAGACGCATTTGCTACGCGGTAAATCGTTGAAGACCATCAACATCTACTTGTGCGAATCCGTATCGTGTCGTTGATTCTTGATCGCTGTCTAACTGGGAAGTTTCGCTGTACTGACGTCACCACGCATCCCTCTCTGCATGCAGACGCGTGAGATCGAACACCGGCTACAGAAGATCAACTTCCCCGAGAAGTTTCAGCTGCAGATCATGGCCGTCGACTCGAAGGGCATCCTCTCTGTAACGGGCAGCCAGTACCCAGCAGACGAGCAAGTGCTANCCACTGACATCTGCTCGATCAGAAACCATATAGTCAGCATTAAGAGCGCATTCTTGATGTGTCACACCTATAATCATCAACATACAGAAGCTTGCTGCCATGGAATGCACAAGGGTAACGCTGTTGAGTACATTTCATGTTACTCAGTTTATATGGGCTTGCTATCAATTTCCTTTAGTGGCTTGGTAAGTACATTGTAAATTAACAAATGGCAACGTTATATAATACCTGGAGTTGTGAATCTCGCTGTGTTGATGTACCCATTGGTGCTGATGTTCAAAACGTATTCCGAGTTGTATGTCAGTCCAAGTAGCTTCACCTCATCCTTTACATAATAGAAAAATACGTTAAGAAAGTTATAGTTATGTCACTTTTCACACGCACTTTTCCACTTGCACGCTTTTTACATTTATACATTGCATGGTCAATCTAGCACGTTGCCCATGTTTAAAATGGAACATTATTGAAAATAATTTTCTTGAGATTAACTTTGACATAGACGATGTTCATGCACTTACATCTTTCTCGCTGGGCACGATGAGAAACTTGGGCTGATGTTCCTCAGCTACACACACAGGATAGGCGCTGTCTTTGTTGCAGCTCGTTCTTTTCCAGGCTATCGAGTATCCTGCACAGAAAGTGAAATAACTATATGTATACATAGTTAACCATGTTTTGTGAAACAATCAGTAAATACGTAACATGTATTGATGACATTAACATACTAATATACGTTCGATAATGCGTGGATGGCGCACGTACCTATGTCACCGGTTGCGGTCGTATCTGTCCATAGATACTAACCCAAGGGGTACCCCCCTTGGGTTAGTATCTATGATCTGTCTTGTGTTTCCATGTCACTGTGGCATCGAGTCGTGCGTCCCTCGTTGCCACAGCAACGGATATGTCGAGCAGCAGCACCCACTTGCTTGTCTGCTGGGTACTTGCTGCCCGTTACAGAGAGAATGCCCTTCGAGTCGACGGCCATGATCTGCAGCTGAAACTTCTCCGGGAAGTTGATCTTCTGTAGCCGGTGTTCGATCTCACGCGTCTGCATGCAGAGAGGGATGCGTGGTGACGTCAGTACAGCAAAACTTCCCAGTTAGACAGCGATAAACAATCAACGACACGATAAGGATTTCATTCCATAAGGATAATCTATTCAACGATTTACCGCGTGTTAAAGAATCAACTCTGCTCACCTGTACGATTCCCATCCAGTCGCTGTGCTCGTTTTCGCGCCACGTCAGCTGGTAGACAACGGCCCTGTCTATAGGCACTCCCTCCGGCTCCCACCGTAGCAGTAGGTCAGTATCGGAGTCCTCCATCTGAACTGCGAGTTTGTTGACGTCCGATGTCGGCAGATGCTGCGTCTCGACACGTGCTCTTCGTGACAAGCGCAGACCACTGGCAACCTCGTACTAAAAAGAACTAATTATCATATATATATATATATATATATGTATATTATATATATACATACTGTTACAGGATGTGAACGTGATGCTGTTGTGTCACATTGCTGTGGTAGGAGATCGACTATATATGCAATATCAAGCAAAATCTAGTTACGCGTCTACAAATTTTTACAAGCAATGTTTACGCAAACACAATTACTCAGCAAAACATTAATGTTAACTATAGAACTGCGTGTATGCGTATTTAAAAGCTATAGGTATCTTGAGGGTAGCAGACTTACACAGAGATCTGGAACGTCGCACATCATTCCCCACACTTGATAATCCAGGTAAAGCATAGAGCAACTTTCCCAGCACTGTGAAGCAGACACATTATCCGTTATTTATAAAATACATCATGGTACAATATATCGTAAAAAAAAATGTAACACAGATGCGTGCGCGTGAAAAATACCATTTTTACATAAATATGAAACAATGTGATATTACATAATAATTGCTAAAGTAGATAAGAGCATCTAAATAATTTTGTTACTTACCATAAAGCAGCTTTGGTCATTCATGCAAGCCTCATCTCCCATGTTAGACTCTGCTGCCTGTAATATGTAGATCAAATCGATTAATATGGTATTACCTACACATTAAAATCAGTCTACGAGTATTGATGTCGATATAATTAGTTATATTATTAATTGCGAGGATAATGCAATATGGTGTCAGATTTTTAATAATAGATTGTCCACGCAAACCTGTGGGAAAGGATAATAAATATAATAAAAAATTAAATGAATAAATAATACATAAATAAAAAATAAAATAAATAATTATAGGAAGCACAATACCAAGTTTATCGACGCAGTCAGCAACGGCACCTGGGCGAGTCACCACATACTCGCATACTGGCAACCTCTAACTCGAAACATAAAACGTCATCGGAGACAATCGTACCCACGTGAGAATAGCTAGTAAATGTAATGCCGAAACGTGGATTTCATGCTCAGTTCTACTACGGGCCACTATTATTACCCGCGTAGTGGACCATGTATCGTACCTGACACACACGATACCGGCAAGGGTCGAGAAGACACTAATGTCACACGTACAAGTTTAGAGCAGGCAAGTGCGCAGACACACTTGACACGCCGCTCACTATGCGCTGTGATGTCCCACCAACGCGCGCTCACGCGATTGCACAGAGCAGCACAGGCACATCACCTAATTACGCGCTGACAATGGCATCCCTTTGTGCGACGGCTTTGTCAAGTTTGTGACGAATTCTGATGTCAGCGTAACTGTGGACCTCACAGGTGTCTGCTGCGACGTATCTTGTAAAAAGAAGTGCGAGTAGTAAGCCGCTTGAAAGGTTCTGCGCACGAGTCAAACTACGGAGAGATTAAGCACCATTTCTCGATTTCTACTTACTATGTGTTTATATGTGTTCATAATTTTGCGCGAATAAGTATTGAAATTAATCATGGACCTATTTAGAGATAGCAAATAGAATGAATAACGTGAGTGAAAAATAGCGCAGGGCACATTAGAAATTAATTCGTTCATCTTTCTATTTTTTTGCTTGCATGCATGGTTTGCGAAATGACGGGGTCTGCGGTGGACATCGGTTAGAAATGTATTATAAACCCTAATATTACAGTAATGCAGTAATTTCACACATAGAGCAGCAGATTTAACGTTATGGCAGACAAAATATTACAATTTTCCCTGTAGTTACGACATGCATCGGGCTACCCACATTTCACATAAAAAAGTATATTGCTTGTTACGCTAGAGTAATAAAACAATTAACCATCGATACCCAATATTTTGTTTTGTAGCTAGCCCGGATCAGTTAAATCCCTTGGAATAGGGAAAATGCAATAGACCGGATAGCCGCAGAAAAGATCACATAAAAATCGATATCATTGATAAGTGATTGGACTGAAACATATAGGAAATCAGTTGATCGCCGTTCAAAATGCAAAATTGCTCACCCAACATTCGCTAACCAAACATTTGCTCACCCAACATTCGCTAACCAAACATTTGCTCACCCGACATTTGCCCACTAGACATTTGCTCACCCGGCATTCGTTCATCCAACATTTTCTCATCCAACCCGACATTTGCTCACCCACATTCGTTCACTCAACATTTGCTCACTAGAAATTCGTTCACCCTCAACATGTTCACCGTACAATTGCATCACCACATCATCGTTCACCAACATTGCTCACTAGAATTAGTTCACCCAACATTTGCTCACAGGCTGCGCGAGCTCTCACTCACTAGAAAATCGTTTACCCAACATTTGTTCACCATACATTTGCTCACCCAACATTCGTTCACCCAACATTTGTTCACCGTACATTTGCTCACCCAACATTCGTTCACTCAAGATTTGCTCACTAGAAATTCGTTCACCCAACATTTGCTCACTCTACATTTGCTCACCCGACATGTGTTCCCTCCACAGAGGAGGGGCTCGAGGGAAAAGGTTCGATGAAAACAGCTAGCTTTGATTCACTTCTCCCAAATAAAATCAAATAATAAATACAAGTATGCTATATAAATATAACATTACATAATTCTTGACGGTTATATGAAAACATTATCAACAATATATTGGAAATCATATCCGATGTAATGCGAATTTTCGGCGATGGTATGTAACGGGGTTAATTTTCCTGTCGAAATATTTAAATTGCAGAATCATATAATTCATGTTGAGTTAGCGCGCACTCCAAGAACAATAAGGGGCAAGGGTGGATAAGGTACAGGTCACGTAAAAATACATTAGAAGGAGCGATTGGAGATGAGTGAAGAAGCGAAGGATAGAAGGAGAAAGAGCGAGAGAGGGAGAGGAGAGTGGGCGAGAAAGAACAGGAGGTCACGGCGTCGGATAAAGGGCGATGAATGAAGAAAGAAAGAAGTACCGCGCGTAGGGCGTTCAGAAAGTTGGTTCGGCAGCCGTTCATTGCGCGTTTACGGAACGACGGACATTGTAAATGAAAATTTGCTTGGACCATCTCGGGCACTCGCAGTGTACCCATGCCGAGTAAGGTCGTAATCAGACCAGTAGTTTGTGAGGCGTTCTGCATGTCATCCACAAACACCTACATACGCACGCACACACACACGCACACATACATACACACGTACCCGCGCACACGAGCTCACACATGCACACACATACACACAATACTAAGGTAATACTGAAACAATTTATGAGGAATAACTTAAATAATGTGCAGTGGTGTAGCTGTAGACATGTTATCAAGGGAACTCCTATGTACTCCCATTTAGTTTACTATTCATATTATAGCCTAACATCTTTTATCCATTTCTCAGTCTCCATTCTCTCCCTGGTCATTTGGGTCTTTTTAGAAGTTGTAATTTCCCCCCTGTTTTCATCCGACGTTCATTCCGAATCTATAATAATTTTATTGTGTGTATATAAAGTTGAATTCATTTCTTGATTGAAGCGCGTGAGGAAATATTGCCTGCAACTTGAAATAATGAGGACTATATATAGTTAATATATAATGTAAAATTGACACAGTTCATAACAGTTTCTTGATACTATTAAACTTGTTCACGCAATTTGGATACTATGCTCTTCGCATAGCATCACGCGTGTTCAGAACTTTTCAAACGGCTTGGTATACTCATCCGTCGTTTCACAAGATATCACGCAGCTGACACCTGTAGCATCATCAATCGCGTAAATATCGGTACTCGTCAGAAACTTTGCACGACATCCCGAGACCGTGACAAAAGCCGCCGAACAAAGCGGTGACGTGTCAAACAATGATGGCCGCTCGTCTAAACAATAGACGAGCGCGCCGTGGACATCACACCGACAATAGTGAGCGGGTGTCAAGTGTGTCCGCGCACTTGCTGCTCTAACTGCGTGTGACATTAGTGTCTTCTGAACCCTGCCGGTGTGTGTCAGGTACGATCACGTGGTCCACTACGGTATATATAGTGGCCCCGTAGTCAAACTCGAGCATGAAATCCACGTTCGGCATTACATTTACTAGCTATTCTCACGCGGGTACAATTGCTTCACGATGACGTTTTATGTTCGAGTTAGTGTTTGTATTTTCGTGTTCTTCGCCGCATGCGTCTTACCGATGATCCGAGGAGAGGACATGCACAAGTATGTGGGAGTCGCCAGGTGCCGTGCTGAATGCGTCGATAAACTGGTACGTATAATTAATTTCATACAATCCTGCGTAAAAATCTGGATCATAATTAGACGTATTGGCAAAATTATGCGCTAACTATATAAGCTATGTATGCTATAGCTATGTAACTATAATTATACGTACGCCTACATATATATAGGTGGATAGGTACCAGAATCTAATTCGCTATTTACAGATACCAGAATCTAATATAGGGGATGAGGCCTGCATGAACGACCAAAGCTGTTTCATGGTGAGTAACTACATTAGATAGTTAGTGCAATGTAGATTAATTATTATTAATTATAAATGTGTTTAAATAAAACATAATTAAATATATCAAAATTTTATACTTGTGTAAAATGTTATAAGGTAGTTTACGCGTGCGCGCGTGTGCATGTTGTATTTTGTTAACAATTATAACGAATTGTGTGTTTCCCTGTTACAGTGCTGGGAGACCTGCTCTATGCTTTATATGGATTACCAGGTGTGGGGAATGATGTGTAAAGTCCCAGAACTTTGTGTAAGTCTGCTACCCTCAACTAATATATATATATATACATATATTATTATTCTAAGGTTCTAGCGTTTGCCATATTTGTGCACGCGTAAAAGCAAACTAGCGGTTGCTTGACTTGATCACATCGTTGTCTGCCATAGCAACCTACGCGACATTATGAACATTGCTTTCTACAACAGGTCTCTCTCTCTCTCTCTCTCTCTACACACGCACACGTATGCAACAGTATGCTAATATAATATATATAATGGTTTGTGTTATTTTTAGTACGAAGGTTGCCAAGTGTCCTGCCGTTTTTCACGAAGAGCACGTGCTTCGAGACGCAACATCTGCCGACATCGGACGTCAACAAACTCGCAGTTCAGATGGAGGACTCCGATACTGAGCTAGTGCTACAGTGGGAGCCGGAGGGAGTGCCTATAGACAGGGCCGTCGTCTACCAGCTGACGTGGCGCGAAAACGAACACAGTGACTGGATGGGAATCGTACAGGTGGGCAGAGTTGATTCTTTACTGTTAACGGTCGGCGCTACCGAAGTGTCTTTGTCTCATTGCCGTTATCGACGGATTTCAGACGCATTTGCTACGCGGTAAATCGTTGAATAGATTATCGTTATGGAATGAAATCCTTATCGTGTCGTTGATTGTTTATCGCTGTCTAACTGCACGGTCCTCTCTGCATGCAGACGCGTGAGATTGAACACCGGCTACAGAAGATCAACTTCCCCGACAAGTTTCAGCTGCAGATCATGGCCGTCGACTCGAAGGGCATCCTCTCTGTAACGGGCAGCCAGTACCCAGCAGACGAGCAAGTGCTGCTGCTCGACATATCCGTTGCTGTGGCAACGAGGGACGCACGACTCGATGCCACAGTGACATGGAAACACAAGACAGATACGACCGCAACCGGTGACATAGGTACGTGCGCCATCCACGCATTATCGAACGTATATTAGTATGTTAATGTCATCAATACATGTTACGTATTTACTGATTGTTTCACAAAACATGGTTAACTATGTATACATATAGTTATTTCACTTTCTCTGCAGGATACTCGATAGCCTGGAAAAGAACGAGCTGCAACAAAGACAGCGCCTATCCTGTGTGTGTAGCTGAGGAACATCAGCCCAAGTTTCTCATCGTGCCCAGCGAGAAAGATGTAAGTGCATGAACATCGTCTATGTCAAAGCTAATCTCAAGAAAATTATTTTCAATAATGTTCCATTTTAAACATGGGCAACGTGCTAGATTGACCATACAATGTATAAATGTAAAAAGCGTGCAAGTGGAAAAGTGCGTGTGAAAAGNCACGGGAGCCCTTTGATTGGCTCCGTTATTTCACAGAGTATGAATGGAGCGTTCGCAAGCCGGCGAGCGGCCTAACTATTGGACACAGCCGATTGGAAAATGGATCCTTCATGGTCACGACCGGCGTGCAACCAGCACCGGCACGGGGGAGAGAATTGTAGCTGTAAAGACATGCAAAGGTAAAACGTCAGATACTAACCAAAACATTATCTAAACTAATCTTGACAAAAACCTTACTCGTGAAGGCGACTTGACCTATTCACAATTTGTTGAATGAATGATACAAACTTTCTATCAAAGAGAAACTGATCGTTATAATAGCGTCTAGATGTAAATGCAATAACTTCGTGGCTAACCACATTCCACGCTTTCTATACATCCACTAGTCTCCTAATACACACGTATGAAGTATTAATACAGATTTACTTCGTGTAGATAACACGCAGCATGGCCGGGACAAAGGCTTGCTCTCATGAATGAGAACATCTGCTGAATGAAGCAGCTGAAGGCAAGCATCACCCTATACCGCATTCGGCCCTTCATTGGAGCATTCACTGGACGTGCAACCTATCACACTCATCACGGAATATGCTTGTAGTGGAAGCTTTGCGCAACCTGCCATGGGTACGTATGGTTAAACCGATCAGTTAATTATTAACCATACCTTTGCGCTACGATCTGAGAATGACACGTTCATAGTACATATTATTATACTACGCAGTGTACTGAAGATTACCGAACTTGCTGACGGTATTAACTGCTTCTACTATAGAATATTCTTTGTTATTTTATAAAAAAAATAGTTAATTATTCTATGTGCCACCCACAGAAATAGAAACTGTTTGTTTTATTTTAGGAAACTACATATTGAAGGAGACCTAATGTCAACTGGAGGGAAAATGGTTATAATTTACACCGGTGTGGACAGTCTTGGAAGACAGGAACAAGTCCAAGCAACTGCAGTCACGTTGCTTGGCTGGGCATGGCAAATTGCCAATGGCATGGTACGTTTCTAAATTATACAAAATCAAATAAATAATATAAATCACCAAATAATCACCTCGTTGAACCTAACCAAATCATTTCACGCATTACTAAATATATCTACTGGAAAAACGCGTTTGTATGTACATATACGACCTGTCTGGGAAGGAAGTTCTACGGTAGCGATAGACTAAATAGATTAAACCGCGATTAAACTAGTTTTTGATAAATTGCAATACGACCTACTTCATCGTGCTATTCTCCCCGCAGACGTACGTGACAGAGAAGGGCTTCAATCACGGTGACGTCACTGCAAGAAACATTCTCGTAACAGATCAGGGAACGGTAAAGCTCTGTGACTTTGGTCACGCGCAGATATGCCCAGCGGGAAACCAGATTAGCACAGGTAAGTTGACAGAACCCTAAGCTGCCTTCGATCATCAAGAGAAATATGTAGACTGTTGCAGTTACTGATTACTATTGTTAGAGATCTAAATCTTTCCGTGTCTAATTATTAAATGCGAAATCTGATAATAATAATTATATTTTCTGCTCTCCAAACAGATACACAAACTACACCACTGTTATTCCACGCTGATATTATTTAGCGTGTGAAATCTGATAACATGGCCTAACATATGTTCTGCTTTCTTTGCACAGATACACATACTATTCCCGTCCAATCCGCTGCACCAGAGACACTTCAAACTGGACAGCGGTCAGAGGCTTCTGACGTCTGGGCGTTCGGTGTACTGCTATGGGAAATAACGACGCTTGGCAACGAGCTCTATTCGGGAATTAAGGAAGAAGACATGCTGCCGTATCTTCTGGATGGAAATAGACTCAAGCAGTCAGACTACTGTTCCACCCAGCTGTAAGTATACACTCAATAAACATAACTTTACCTGAACGGTAATTCCCAACTGGTTAAATCAATCGTAATATAAAGTATTCGACTAATACGCAGTGTCCTTGCACTGAACAATGGCAGTTTTAGAGCACAGGCTATTAAGTATATTTATTTCATCAGATATGAACTGATGCAGAGTGCTTGGAAAACTCGCACCTCAGTGAACGACCAGGCTTTTCGGCAGCTGTCAGCAGGAACTACAGACAATGATGTCCGTCTGCTCACAAACACATAGACCTGATGGTAAGTCCATAACGCCTGGAGCAATGCTGAGGTAAATATGCACAGATAAAGTACCGTGTAGCTTATATTTGATGCACTCAATATATAACATAAAGGAAATATATAATAATTACAAAGAAAATTGTCATTTCTCCTGCATTAAGACGCACTATATTAACGTTTGCCTGTTGTAGACATGAAACTGATGTCTGTTCAAATATCAATAATCTTACACCAACCATATACTTTCCATATGTGCGACTGTTACGTCTGATTCGCCGTAATTCTTGTCATTAACCGTCTCGTTATTACGTTATTTGCAGTGAGAACGACTGCACCACCTCTAGCTGTCGATCCAGCTTAGCTGAACCTGCCGACAACTCTCACGGGAGACCGATGGTCGCTGAGCTGATCCTCACAAACGAGGTCACGGTCCATTCTGACCCAGGTCGTCGCTCCACAAGCAGCAGCAGCCAATCACAGACCGGCTTTCACCAGGGCAGCGTTAGAAGTGCAGGTAGACAGTCTCGTCGCCACAAATCCTTCATCAGAGGAAGCCATCTTGATTCAACTGGACCATCCACCGGTGCGCCATCGCAGTCGCCGATTTCAACTTGCTCTCGCCAGTCGCACACGAATTCAACGTGCTCCAATAGATCCGAGGACTCCGGCGTGGGAGCCAATAGGAGGTCAAGCAGACTTGGTAAGGTGAGCCTGTCGCAGCAGCTGAGTCGGTTTGCATCATCAAAGTGTCAGGAGGAATCCGGTCGATTATTGGAGGACTATGAGGAGCAACAGGAGGAGGGTGCTAGCGATGACGTGTTTGAGGAATCAAAACCTGACAGCCTCCCAGAAGATGAGTTAGTTAGGAGTGTATCTCAATAAACGAGCTATTTGCAAACGTATGGATTGATAAAGAAAACGAAGAAACCACAATGAAAAACATACCCTGCAATATATATGTCATTGCTTTCATTTAGATGATTGTCACGGTCAGAAAATATTAATATATTATTAACTTGTTTGTTTATAACTTATTTTGCATATATGTATAGCATCGACCTAATTTGTATAGAGAATTTTAACTTCACTAATAATTGATTTAGTTAGCTAAGAAGTCATTTCAGTAACACAAACTTACTAAATATATTTATTAATAAAATACTGGTGCTTTTATATTTTATTTTAAACTTATTATTTTGTTTATAGAAGCTTTCTTCACCCGTATATATTCTCATATCAAATATTGCCCTGATATATGTAACTAACAACATGAAAGAAATTCCCAAAGTCCAAACAAATGTCGGTGTTGGACAACGTGGGACCGAAACCCAAATCAACTTGATGCATATATATATATATAACAGTCAACCAACATGATAAATTTCAATTTTCTCGACCATTAGCACACACGCATTCACACGAATGTCCTTATTTACAGATTTTTGAAAATTAACGTTCAGTAACAAGGTGAGCGATTAAATATGAAATGTGCACATATCTCATTCCTAATTTTGCAGTATATTTGGTTAGATTGTGATCAGCGTTAGATATATGGTACCCAGAATTACAACCGCATATTTCACTCTATAGTCTATTCACTCTATTTAACTCTAATCACAGCTCTCTTCGACTTTCTTTGATATGAATTTCTAGATTTCATCCAGTATTTGCACACTAATTACAGTGGAGACATGATAATTCGTGATCAATTTCATGGTCAAAATAAGTTCAGTAACATTGACAAGCTTTGAATGACGTTACTAATGACTATCATGCACTACTGCCATGAAACGTTATAACATCCGAGTTAATGCCACGCGACTTTTAAAAACAGACCGACTTTGGCAGCCACGCTACAGATAAGGCCTTTACAATCAATGATTAGAGATCTGTGTATTACATTTTAATTTCAAAAATAACCCTAACAAGCTTGATATATCACAGGATTGTTGATGTTGTTTAAAAAAAAATCCATTTAAATTGGCACACAACCATGTTGACACACGTGGTTTAAATGCTTGAATCACCCTGCCTGTGATATAAAAGGTTGAGCTGTGACGTGACACCATTACTAAGGTGTGCATGTTGCATAGATACTTGGCTGTGTGCAGGGGCCCCATATACTACAATAGAGCGTGGCAATAACCCATGGTCATGGTGATATACACACATATATATATATAGCTCTATTGTTTTTATAGATGGTACAGTGTTTCCCATACATTGACACGAGCGAGCAAATTTGTCCAAAACACCGCCTCCCTTACGAAACATTTGACAACTTGAAAAAGAGATTCAAGATCGAGTCTCATACAATCAGGAGTCTATCAATTGATAGACTCCTGATACAATGTGTTAAGAATAGCTTAAAATGCACCACATTGCACAATTTTTTCAAAAATTTGCCAGGGGAGCATGCCCCGGCCCCCTATAGCTTGGCAATCACTTGCACTGCTCACTTTGCTAGGACCTCGATACGATATATAAATATAGGCCTACTTACACCGATTCAAACTGCTGGCAAGGGATCGAGATAGCGATACAATAAACCTCTGATCGTAGTGATATGAAGTGAAAGAACTGCAGCGAGTATGTCATTATCTATAATGATCAACAGAAGAGGTCAAGCGTAAAAACTCAAAAGGACCATTAGCCAACGATAGGAATCTTTAGGCGCATTTCATTGCACACATGCTCTATGCAATCCAGAAGCTTTCGCATGTCGGCTGGAAATAGATGCCCAATGTTACCTATCCTGAAGCAATCTACCTCTGTCATCTTCCCTGGGTATATAACCTGATCTGAAACAAAAAGCGAGAGCCCGTTGGAGTATTTTTTGTATTTGAGAGTTGCTGAAGGTCTACTACTCCCATTAGATATCAATTACAGTAAAAACCAGTGTATAAGAACCTGTTAGGGCAAGATTTTCCATTTAGACCCGCTTGACATAAGAACCTGCTTTAGCCTACAATTTGAAACAGGTTCTTATTTGATAAAATTCAGTTAACACTTAAAAATTCATAAATCAACTAAAACAAAAAAGAAATAAGATAACCTAGAATAGGGTTTGTATTTGTCTAGATTGCAGTCATTTAGACATAATTATATGCATAGTTTATATAAACAATGGACCGCACCAATATTCTACCAGCAACAAGCGTATTTTTTTCTTAAAAAAATAAGAACCTATTTAAGAACCGAAATAGCCTAATTTCCCAGTAAACACCAATTATATAAGAACCTTTTTCGGCTAACGTGGAAAAATGCAGGTTCTTATACGCGAGTTTTTACTATAATTTTTCAATGCAGAATTAGTTCCAACAAAGAGTTTACATAGGTTCGTGCATAGACTTAAAATATATAATAATTCTAACAAGCTTCACGTATCGTATATCACAGACTTGTTGATGCTGTGTAATAAAGCATCGATTAAATTGGCACAATCACATTGACAAATGTAGTTTAAATGCTCGAATTACCTTGCCTGAAATTTAAAAAAAGGTTTAACTGCGATGTGACACCATTACTAACTTAACAAAACTCTGCCGGTAGTGATATGGAGTGAAAGAATAGTACAGCAGTGAATATGGCAATAACTATAACAATCACCTATAGAAGATACTCAGAAAAGGTCAGAGTGAAAACTCAAAAGTACCATTAGCCATGGATAGGAAACTTTAGGCCCATATGCCATTGCACACAACACACTGCATGCAAAGGAAACTATATATAGTCAACTACAAATGATGACAGCACATACCCAAGTCACCTAGACGTGTGTAAAACGTCTTAAAATCGAAGTTGGGGTCGTTCGGGAAATGGTAGGAAGTGATGATGTAACCTCTGTGTGAGTCATCCAGCAACTCTCTAAAACCGAGTTTCGTCATGCCATCCCGCAGCACTGATCGGTTCTCTTTATATCTGGTATGCACAATTGCTATTGTCTTTACCATATACTTTCCAAAATTGGTTATGAAAAGACCGAATTCTTGGCACTCGATTGGTGCAAGTGTAGCGTGGTTTGTATGTGCCAGTTGCAGTTCAAGTCGCATGCGTGAGTTTGTAAACCGTAAAATAATGGAGGGTTGTTCGCGAGTCATAATGTTTGTCACCAGCAGAGTGTACTGGTAAACATGTAACTGTCCCAATCATACTTTCTCTCACATACCATGTTAATTACGACTCACTACATTCCCTGTGATGTACGTGCATGCACATGAAGTGATACTATAATCACAGGTTTTTGATTATTTAATTAATTAATTAATGATGATAAATTCACGATATAATAATGGTGGACCTCATACATCATAGATTAATGCAGTTTTAAGAAAATAAGAAAATGTCAAAATAGTTCAAAATGACAAATACCTCAGGATATCGGTCATTGTTGTAGAGACAATATTTGACATTCATGCAATGAGCCAAATACCTGCGGGCTCTTCCTTTGACGCCACCTTCTTGTTCCAGTTCAATTAATGCCTGTTTGAATGCCAGCATGACATGGGTAGGAGGGGTGAACCTGAATTGACCATTTTGATCTAATCCTTCACACTGTTCCACAAGGTCGAATGATAGTGTCCTACTCCATCCTAAAATAAATGAGGTTTTCAAGAAGATATAAACCTATACACATTGTTTCTTATATTGTACATAGATTGAACATATATCCACAAATTTGTCACATCTAAAACTCTTTCAATCAGTAATGCTTCTAAATGATAAAGGAGGAATTAGTTTTCACCGCTCCACAAAAGCACCAACTCGAACCTATCTATATATATATACCTTTGCTGTTAAATAGCTTTTCTCGATTTGCGATAACATATGAGAATCCCGGTATGCCTTCGATGCACTTGTTCGCCGAACTAACCAAGTAGTCGACACCACATGCAACCATGTCGAGGGGAATCGCCCCAAAGCTGCTCATTGCATCCACAAAGTAAGTAGCATCTGAAATTCACGAGCCATTACCATATGAAAGCATCCACGTCTAACCTGCTATAATGATCAAGACCGATGAATAATTGCACGGCTATATAAAGCTCGGGTATTCATGATTCACAGTGAATTTCTTAGTAAGCATTTGACAACAGCTGTCACATTAGATTCTGCAATAACCAGCAGTGTCCATATAATGTAATTACTACATGACGCACAGAATATCAATCACAAATGGCACAGCTAATTGAAAACACAAACCTGTGTATCTTTTCAATAGCAACCCCACATCTTCTACAGGATTGATGACGCCTGAACTTGTTTCACAATGTACTATAGAAACGTTGGTGAAAGTATCTTGTTTAAGGGCTTCTTCCACGACTTCTACCTGCGGAAAAAAACAATACAAAATAATAACAAAACTACACACGCGTGCATGCACGCACGCACGCGCACACACACACAACACACACATATATATATATATATCTATAAAAAGTTCACGTTGGCTGCTGCCGGCTTTCAACAATTAAATGACCATGCCATATTCTACTATAAGACCCTATATCACTTCAGAATGTATCAAATAAGCGTTACCTTACACGTGACCCAATAACCATTACCTTACACGTGACCCAATAACCATTACCTTACACGTGACCCAATAACCATTATATTCAGAATATACCTATCAAATATACTTGTAAAACATTATTATTACTGCATTGGAGAAAAGCAAAATGAATAACTAATGAATATAAATATAAGGAATAACTCTAATAAAATAATTATTGAATGGTAGCAAAATTAATTTAAGAAATCGTACCCTGACTTTTTCTTCATCAGGAAAGCGGCACAATACGTGGTCTATATTATGTGCTTTACATATCCTTGATACTCGCATTCCATATGCCCCATTGGCTAGGACCAACACCTAAAGAAAAAATGTCAATCCATGCTGCTTAATTACGGTAATGTTTACTCGCGATTAACTGTGACCTATAGGAAGTATGGGAGTGATAAATCGCAATGGATAGCTGAAATAAATTTCTACATAGTACCAAATCACACTGTCACATTTAACAATTGTAACATTGACCGACCCCTATATGCATTTTACAACACATACCTAAACAGCCATTACAGAGAAGAACTCTATATGATACATACAGTTGGATATGATACTGTTCCCAATTTATTATTGTGCCATCTGTTTCCTGGCATAATTCCTTCTACTACATCATAGAATCTTAGGCACAAAATGGATAAATGAACAAAATGGAAGTATAATCATTGCTTAGCTAGATATATGCTGCCTCAAAGGGTAAGGAAATGCTGCAACAGCTAGCTGCTACATATGATGTAGAGTATGGGAGTGATAAATCGCAATGGATAGCTGAAATAAATTCCTACATATAGTACCAAATCACACTGTCACATTTTACAATTGTAACATTGACCGACCCCTATATGCATTTTACAACACATACCTAAACAGCCATTACAGAGAAGAACTCTATATGATACATACAGTTGGATATGATACTGTTCCCAATTTATTCTTGTGCCATCTGTTTCCTGGCATAATTCCTTCTACTACATCATAGAATCTTAGGCACAAAATGGATAAATGGACAAAATGGAAGTATAATCATTGCTTAGCTCATTGAATAAATGAATGTACAGTGTCAGTTTTATTTCCAGAATCAGATATATAAAGATATATAGGTTCAACGTAACACAAACTCTGTCAGGTTTTATTGTATTTAGTAAACATTGTCATATATATATTATAATTAATGGACTTTTGATTATTTAGAGCATTAATCATACCATGGCAGATAATTAGTACTTTTCTGCAGGCTAATGTGTTTCCATTGCTATATAGTTATTTTGACAGGTGTGGAATACATCATGCGTACCTTCCCGCCTTGCCGAGGTACTGTACTTGATATAACAGCTTCTAATGCATAGGTGCCACTCCCCTGCAGAGGTACACATGTGTACTGAGATGGATCAACACCTATGCAAAGAAATCTTTATTATGTTATTGAGGTCCTATATTCATGTACAGGAATGATAATTCTATCAATAATCACACGAAAGATTCCCACTTGCTATCTTCCTTGATACATGATACATGATGACATGATTATATATATATATATGTATATGTATATATGAATTGATAGAACTGGCTCCAAAATGATGGGTAAATTATATCATGAGTTCATAGTATATAGCCCATATAATGGGCTCTTGGTCATATATAAATTATACATGTATTGGATCATCCTACAGTCAGCAAATAATGGATTAATTATATAATTAATATTTAAATGTATTCAAATGATTAAAAACAACATGCTCTATCTTCATTATCTATTATAGCCCAAACGAACCTGCGACATCCAAAAGCTTTTCTCTGATGTACTTGACAGTTTCAATGAAAGTTGTATCTCTGGATCCATAGTCCAGCAGCATAGCCTCTTTCACAGTCTTGCTGGTACACAGGGGTCCGGGAGTAAAAAGTTTCTTCCCACCTAGAAATTCAAGAATATTCACAGTATACATGCATTGTATACTGCATACTGACAGTAATACATATATATACTCTGTATAGCTGAATAGTACATTGTAGTATATACAATAGTAGTACATAATACTGAGTAGTACATACTGTAGTATAAATATACGTTGTGCATGATATGTGCATCTTTATATTCATATTATGTGTAACAGTGTATGTCAACTATTACAATGTGTATTAGCTCTAGCCTCTACAGGTGTGGGCCAGCGTAGCTTTAACCGTGTATCCCTAGTCAGTGGTGTATCCAGCATGGGGCGGAGCCAGCGTACGGCCCCCCTCGTTTGCAGGCTCAGAAAAAAATCAATCAAACTTAAAAAAACAAACTTTTTAGTAGCAGTGGCACTGGGTGGGTCTTCAGGGGTAACGTCAGACTGAATGCCCTCCTGTTTCTGTTTGCTCCACAAGGACCTCCCTTTGCAAATGGATAAGGTGGTCAACATCTTCATCAGAAGGAATTAAGCCTCGAAATTAGCTATTGGCAAACTCCATGGGGGACGCTTAACACTGACTGCCAATAAGGAGATTTCCGTCTTTGGTTAAAAATCGCTTGACTACCAGACGGAAATTTCTGTCAATCAGGTTTTATTTCACAACACGAAAGATTAGTTCATAAAGTATCTGCTAGATGTCACGAAATCAGTCCCTCGATCATCAACCAGTCGTGTACGTGGTTCTTACCATTGAAGCAACATTGACCTTTGTCACACTCATTTGCAGTGAGATGGCTCGCCGTATTCGATATACACAGGCTGAAGCACTGGCCGAGATTTTTGCGGATTCTGATTCTGTGGATGATTATTTGGCATCTGCTGATGAATCAGTAAATGAAGCCGGTTTTGCTCGTCAGGACGACGAGTACGAGTCAAATGATGATAAACATAGTGGTCAGCTAGCTGATAGTGATGATGATGACAATAATTCACCTCAGCAATCTGAACCTAGATATTACTAATACTATTAGAAATACTAATAGATTAGAATTAGAATATTACTTATGTATTACTAGATAGAGATGTTATATTTGGTATCTAGAATATATATGTTTAACCCATAGGAATAAAGAAATATGCCACCTGGTAGTGAGATTGACTCTAAAAGACACTTGCATTTTCAAACTTGTTTTTCTCCACTTTTTAGTGAATTTCAACCAAAAGTCGAAAATAGTTGTATTCTTGAGATTGAAGAGGATTATCTTGTCTTTTTTTATATCAATAAACATTTGGTATCATTAGAAAGTTTGAGTCTTGTTCTTCCAAATGCTATAGGCCCTATAACAAGAGGTTCTTTGCCTATTAAATAATTATCCCAATTTTGTTAGAAATAATCGAAAAAGGCAGAAAACCTCTGGTGGTGGCAGTTACTTTCATGCATAAAGTCTGGCAGTCAAAGTGTTAAGGTCCCGAATACACAATCATGACCTGAACATCTCAGTGGCAATTATTAGTAGGCCTAATTGTCACACCGACTTCTCACCCTGACCTGTGTATCAATCAGAGCTACTCATCAACGTGATCAAGTGTGTTTCCTTTTTAGTGCCATTAAACATGTTAAAGGACTTATAAAGTTATATTTTGTGTTGCAATTCTTACCTGTGTTTTAATACATGTATTATTACTATAGCTGAGAGGGTCTATGTCCCCCAGGGTACTGCCGGAATGTACCCTGGGTACGGTCCGGTATACTGGAACATACCCTGGTACTATCTAATATGCCGGACCGTACCTCGCCTACTCCACTAACGAGTCTAGGGAGTCGCCTACGCCTACTCCCTAACCCTAACCTTAACCCTAATCCTAACCCTAACCATATCAAATAGTGACCAGGGTACGTTCCGGTATACCGGACCGTACCCAGGGTACGTTCTGGCATAGCTCTAGTACTATAGCCCGCTTAGATTAACTGCCGCTGGCAGCGGCAGTTAATGTAAGCGGGCTATAGTACTAGAGCTATGCCAGAACGTACCCTGGGTACGGTCCGGTATACCGGAACGTACCCTGGTCACTATTTGATATGGTTAGGGTTAGGATTAGGGTTAAGGTTAGGGTTAGGGAGTAGGCGTAGGCGACTCCCTAGACTCGTTAGTGGAGTAGGCGAGGTACGGTCCGGCATATTAGATAGTACCAGGGTA